TGAACTTGTGATCCTCCTGCCTCAGCCTCCTAAGCTGCTGCGCCACTGCTCCTGGCATCAGAATTTGAAGTTTCTACCTTCATCACTCAGCTAAATTCCTTCATCATTCAAAGCCAGTTTCCTTATTAGCTAGGGAGAATATTCAAACTATTAAAAAAAATGGTTTGTGGGCTGGGGATGTGGTTGAGTGGTATAGTGCTTGCCTAGCATGTGCAAGGCACCACAAGAAAAAAAATTATATATATATATATATAGTTTGTGAAGACTAAATAGGACAATATGTGTACAGCATTTTTAGCCCTGCACCCAGTAGGCCCTCAGTTAAAGACAGTGTCAATTAATGGCTAAAAGCTGCCTGGGTTCAAAACCATGGACAATTTCCTTATCCGTAAACTGGGCATGACAAGAGAACCTATCCCGCAGATCATTCTGGGGATAAATCAGTCACCGTACATAAAGCTGGGTGGCGCTGGGCAGTTATGTGAGAAGGCAGGAGCCGCTGCAGCTCCTTTGCAGTGGTCCTTAGAAGTGACTAATGATTCAGGTCGCTTTTTCATCCAGTTCTTCCTCCAGGAAACCCCTGCTTCCGTTATAGAAAAGACCCATTTAGAAATGGGGAAATGAAGACCCTGAGAAGGGCAGGGCTTTGTATGAAGTCACGCATCAAGCATCGGGCAGGCTAGTGATACAAGGAGCACTAGAACCCTGCAGTCCCAACTCCTAAATCTCTCTTTCCTTCTCCCTCTGTCCCTCTCTCCAAGTGTGTGTGTGTGTGTGTGTGTGACTGCTGAAGGCACTCAGAAAAAGGGCTCAGGGACCCAAGAGACCTGCTTTCTCAGTTGTCAATTCCCAGGCCAGTCTCACTGGGCTGTAGCTTCCTGTTTGCCCTGGGCAAACCCCAGGGGACTCTACAGGTGGCAGGGCCCCCACTTCCCTTTGGCCAAGTTGAGGGGGCTGGGAGGAGACAGTGGGGCATTGGGGAATGGAGAGGGTGAGTAGCTGGATCCCCATTTGCTTCTCACTCAACAAAACAGCTCAATCTCCCGCATTAGCTCCACAGCTGCTCCGTCTAGCTCTTGCCAGAGCATGGCCGTCCCCTTCTTAAAACATTGCAGTGGCTTTTCGTCTCCCTAAAATAAAACTCCAGAGCATGGCTTCCCAAGGTCCAAGTGATGCTGCATTTTCCATCTACTTCTCCATCACACTCCTCCTCTTCTCTCACTGTGAAGCACCCCCCCGCCCCTTGCACTTGCTCTTTTCCCGCTTGATTGGCTCCTTTCATCTCAGATTCTGCTCACATATGGCTCCCTCAGAAGGGCCTTCCTTGAGCCCGTGGGAAAGTTTTTGATCTCACATTCTTGTTTTTTTTTTTTCCTTTCCAGCACTTGCCTTGTCTCAAATGACGTGTGTGTGTTAGTGTTCTCACCTGCCTTCTGTGCCAAATGTTCACTCTTTGGCAACAGGGATCTTTACTATCCCTAGATGTACACTGGCACCTAGTAGGTGCTCAATAAGTGTGTGTTGAGTAAAGGAAGGAAAGAAGTTACCAGAATGCAAGAAAAGTTTCTTCTCTCTTCCTGTGCATGTTCTCCGTCACCAAGGCTGATTCATTCTATAGGTAACTATTTCTAGAATCAATCTCCTCCTCTCTTTGGACCCTTCCAGAACCAATTCACCAGCCTCTCTCCTGGAGTCCTATGCCCTGAGTATTCTGTTCCCCAATTACGCACCATTTATCAAGAAAGCTTCTTTTGGACCAGGCATGGTGGCACACGCCTGTAATTCCAGCAGCTCTGGAGGCTGAGGCAGGAGGGTCACAGGTTTGAAGCCAGCCTCAGCAACTTAGCAAGGCTCTAAGCAACTTAGTGAGACCCTGTCTCAGAATAAAAAGGGGCTGGGGATGTGGCTCAGTGGTAAAGCGCTCGCCTAGCACGAGTGGGACCTGGGTTCGATCCTCAGCACCACATAAAAATAAAGGCATTGTGTTGTGTCCATCTACACCTAAAAAGTAAATATTTAAAAAAAAAAAGAGAGAGAGAAAAAGAAAAAAAGCTTTCTTTGGAAGAAAACAAGGGGGACAGGGTGTTGAGGGTGCAGGTCGGCAGTAGAGTGCTTGAGGGTGTGAGTTCAAGCTCCAGCATTGCAAAAAGCAATTTTTAAAGTTTTTTTTTTTTGGTACTGGAGATTGAACCATGGGGCACTGTTAGAGTCTGTAAACAAGTCAGGATGGCGCCTGGCATTTTGCCAGGGGAATGTTAGAGTCTGTAAACAAGTCTGGATGGCACCTGGCAAAATGCCAGAGGGAGTGGTTTGTGAGGTAACGCCAGTGAGCCATTAAGTGTGGAGATTCCTTATTGGTTGACTGCTGTATCTAGTTTATGTTAATTAGATAAGCTGTGTGGAATGTATAAATACTGCTCCTGTCCTACAATAAACGGCTCCCACTCCTGCTGTATCAACGTACACAAGTTGCTTGTCACCCACCTGGTTACTTTGCTGCAGCAGGACTGCGGCAGGGCACTTAACCACTGAGCCACATCCCCAGCCATTTGTATTTCGAGACAGGACCTCACTGAGTTGCTTAGTGCCTCGCATCAGTTGCTTATGTCACACCCACCTACTAACACCTCTTTTGCACAACTGAATATTTGCAATTATGTTCTCAGCTGGGCATTCTACACACACAGTAAAATGGGACATAACAACAACAAAAATGTGAGGCGCAGTGGCGCACATCTGTAATCCCAGCTGCTAAGGAGGCTGAGGCAGCAGGATCACGAGTTCAAAGCCAGCCTCAGCAACTTAGCAAGGCCTCAAGGCAATTTAGCAAGCAAGACCCAGTCTCTAAATAAAATATTAAAAAGGGCTGGGGATATGGGACAGTGGTTAAGTGCCCCTGGGTCAATCCTTAATACCAAAAAACAAACAAACAAACAAAATAATGCTAGTGCCTAAGTCCAAATGACTTAGAGACTTAGTTCTACAAGTATCTGGACGAAGCCCCGGACTGCCTTGCCAGTGGACCTGCAATGTTGGCATGATTCTGCCCCCAGTGATGGAACTGGGGTGCCAATGGTCACCCGTGATCATAGTGAACCCCTTTTCCTAGAGCCTTCCCCAGTCCTCTAAAGATATGATCTGGCTGGGACAAAGACAAATTTGTGCTTCTTAAAGATCAGTGGTCATTTGAATAGTCTAATGATTCTGATTCCCAAAGCTTCTTAATTAGTCATGTGCTTCTCTTTCTCAGCAGCCTTCAATGGCTCTCAGGGCCTACAGGATAAAAGCCAGGCCTGAGAGCTCCCCACATTGATCGGAGGCTCATTTCTAGTCATCATTTTACTTTTTAGAAACCCTGCACGTGCGGCTGGCGCAGGGGCTCAGTGTAGAGCGCTTGGCTTGCATACAGGAGGCACTGGGTTCCATCCTCAGCACCACATAAGAATAAACAAATAAAATAAATGTATTCTGCCCATCTACAACTACAAAAGAAAGAAAGAAAGAGAGAGAGAGAGGGAGAGAGAGAGAGAGAAACCTGCATGTATGTTAAGAATTAAGTCTAGACTTAATTCTGAGGGCAAGAAGCTATTGGGGATTTATAAGCCTGGCCAGATTTATATGTCCCACAACTTCCCCTGGCTGCAACGTGGGGGGAGGCCAGACAGACCTGTAAAGAAAGAACTTATTTATTCCTTTTCCTCGCAACAGATTTTGGGAAACCGAAGACAAGAAAGACAGGGCTCCTAAACTAATAAAGCTTTGATGCAAGTTTTGGGGTCAGGGAAGGATAAAGAGAATGGTAATAAACAAGTTAACCAGTAAATAATTGCGGGTGGTGAGAAGTGCTCACCATATAGTAGCCAGGTGACAGAGGTGGCTTCTTAGTTTCTTTCTTTCTTGGTACCAGGGATTGAACCCAGGGACGCTTAACCACTGAGCCACATGCCCAGCCCTTTTTTTATACTTTAACTAGAGACAGGGCCTCCATAGATTGCAGAGGCTGGCTTTGAACTGGCAATCCTTCTGCCTCAGCCTCCCGAATCTTTGGGATTACAGGCGTTTATAACTGTCCCCCAGTGAGATGGCTACTTTAGACAAGGTAAAGGAAGGCCTCACGGAAGAAGTGGCATTTGAGTGGAGATCTGAGATGGGTAAACTTGGTGAGTTCAAGTGAGTGCGTTTACCGAGATCAGCAACTGCCATATTCTTTCCCCAGTGGTTGCACCATTTCACTTTCCTATCAGCAATGTATGAGAAACACTGTTTTCTCCTCATGATCAGCAGCAATTGGTGTTATTGCTTTTATTTAGCCATTCCCGGAGGCCTGCAGTGCTGTCTCCTTGCGGCTTCAATTTGCATTTTCCTAGGCTAATGGTGTTGAACATCTTTTCATGAGAATATCTGCCACTTGTGACATCAGTGAAATGTCTGTTCTTGTCCTTTGCCCATCCAAGCTAGATTACTGGAAGGCAGGAATGAGACACGATTGACATTTTACAAAGATGGCACCAGCAGTTTTGACAATTAACTACAGTGGCCATCCACATGGAGGCTGCACTCTAGAATACTGAGTACACTGGAGGTAGAGTTTACAGGACTTCCAAGTTCCTGAAGCTTCTTTTAGAAGGAGAAAACAGGTTTGGGCCCGGTGCGGTGTCACACAACTGTAATCCCAGTGACAAGGTAGGCTGAGGCAGGAGGATCACAAGTTTGAGACCAATAAAGCAACTTAGAGAGACCCTGTCTCAAAGATTGAAAAAGGACTGAGGATGTAAGTTAATACTAACGTGTCCCTAGGTTCAATCCCCAGTTTAAACAAAAACAAAACAAAACAGGTTTGTGGGAAGGAGAAGCAAGGCTCTGGGCTTGAGTTGGAAGTGCCTGCACTCTCCAAGGGGAGAGGTCACAGATAAGGAGAGCTTGACCCAGGCTGCGCCAGAGGAAGGATTTGAGAGGCACCGGGAGGGGGAGAAGGGGATTAGCAGGAAGCGGCTTCAAAATGGGGGTGGGGACGTGGAAGTTTCGCACTTCTACGCCTGACTACGTGGGGACTCGGAGGCGCCCAGAAAAATGAAGCCGACCCAGCCCTGGCCCGAGGGACGCTCCAGGGCGGCGGAGCAGGGAGGGCCGGGCCACCGCTCGCTGTAACGTGAGCCAGGCTGCGGCGAAGGGCGGCGGGGGCCATCCAGGGTTGACTCCGGGAGCAGCGCGACAGGAGCCAGACAGCGCTTCGTCCTCCCGGGCGAGGCCGGCCGGCGTCCCCGAGGTGGAAGAGCAGCAGAACTTCCAAGGTCGCGGAGAGACGCCGGGGAAGGACCTCTTTGCAGTTGGAAGGGCAGGGTCCTCAGGACCCGCGCGGCCCAGGAGAGGGGCGGGACCCGGAGCCACAGCCGGTGTCCACTCGGGAATCTTCGGCCGACGCTCGGCAATCCCCTTCACCTCCGGCCTGGACCGCGGGTACGGGGCCGATCCGGAAACAGCCGAGCGGATCCGGAAACAGCCGAGAGGACCCGGAAGCGGCCAGCGCCGTCACCAGGGAGTGCGGGAATCCGCCGTTTGCACTGAGGTAATGGCGGCAGCTGCGCCGGCGGCCGCGAGCGAGGACGGGCGGCTGCTGCGGCCGGGGGCCGGTACGTCGGGGAGCGTTCGTGCACGCAGGGGGCGCTGGAGCCCGAGGCGGAGCCGAGCTCGGCCGCCGGGGGGTGGGGGGAGGAGAGGGGAGGCTGGAGAAAGGGGCGGGGCCACGCCGTCGGGAAATGGGGCGGGGCCTTGAGCCACCGGCGCAAGGGGCGGGGCCTGGTGGCTCGAGGGGAGGGCCAGTGGCAGGTGAGAGGCGGGGCGCAGTGAGGAAGGGGCGGGGCCATTGTGGAGGTCGCGTTGAAGGGAAGGGGAGATTGGGTGAACCGAGGACCGGCTGTAGGCATCGCCAGGCAGAATGAAGTGGGAGAGAGGCGAGGAAGGGGCGGGGACCAGGTGAGTGGGGCGGGGCCAGGTGAGTGGGGCGGGGCCCGGTTGAAGGTGGCGCTGCAATACCGAGTTGAAGGACTTGCAGATTTGGTGGGTGGCCCGGAGTGTTGGGGATTCGTGAAGTAATGGGCATAGAGACTGATTCCTGTCCTCCACAGCCATGGACCCCCAGTCCCTTGAAGGTATAAAGGTTGAGACCGAGTCAGGTGAGCTCAGCCGGCTTCGGGCTGAGCTGGCAGGCGCCCTGGCAGAAATGGAGACCATGAAGGCGGTGGCGGAGGTGAGCGAAAGCACCAAAGCCGAGGCTGTGGCTGCAGTGCAGCGGCAGTGTCAAGAGGAGGTGGCCTCGCTGCAGGCCATCCTGAAAGGTGAGAGGGGCTCTCCCCCAGACTCCCCACCAGCCCATAAGAGGGAGTATCCGCAGGATAAGAAGGAGGACAGATCAGTGGTGGGAGGGTTGCAGGGTGGTCTAGCTCAGCGTATGCCTATGGCCCAGAGCTAGGGCCACCCTTTTCTGATTTGCATAGAGGAACCACACGTGATGGCAGCCACTCTTGTTAGTTATAGCTAAGTTTAGCTCCCTGCTCTGTCTCTTTCCTTGTTCTCTGTCATTTCTCGTCCCTCACTGATGACTGATCAACCTTAAAGATAACCAAGAAACTTTTCAGTTCCCTGAATGAGTCTTATTTTAGTCTGGGCTTTTGGGTTATAGACTCAGCTTGGGGGCCCAGTCTGTGAATGTGATCCTCCAATTTCCGACCTTCCCCAGGCACCCCTACCCACCCCTCCCACACACATACACCTTCCTCCCTCCCTCCTCTCTACTTGGGAAGCACCAGGTCTCTTGCTCCCAGGTCCCTGAGATTCTTTTCCTAATTCCTGCCTCATCATTTAGTCAGTGGCAAAAGTCTTTGAAACATATCACAGACCTGTCGCCACCTGCTGTAATGGGGCTCTGTCTGCTTTCTCCTAGACTGTTGTCCCAGCCTCCTCACAGATCTCCCTCAATGATCTGGCCTTGACCCTGGTTTCCAGAGTAAACTGCCTAAAACTCCCATCCCACCATGCATTTCCGTATCTGGAGCTGTCTCCTACATTTCCAGGCATCCATACTTATGCAATGTAGTTAGATCTTCATACAACTCATCCTGTTATTGACTTCATGTTCTTTAAAAAAAATTTTTTTTTTTTTTTGGTACTAGGGATTGAACCCAGGGGCACTTTACCACTGAACTACATCCCCAGACCTTTTTATTTTGAGATGAGATCTCACTAAGTTGCTTAGGGTCTTGCTAAGTTGTTATGGCTGGCCTTGAACTTGAGATCCTCCTGTCTCAGCCTCTCAAGTTGCTGGGATTAGGGGCTGTGGTTGAGCGCTTGCCTCATGTGTATAAGGCACTGGGTTCGAGCCTTAGCACCACATACAAATAAATAAATAAATAAAGATATTGTGTCCATCTACAATTTAAAAAAATATTTAAAAAAAAAAGTTGCTGGGATTACGGGCATGTACCACCATGCCTGGCAGTATTTGTTCTTTGAATAGATTTACTTTTTAAAAGCTTACATACATGTATTAAAGGAAGCTTCTTATCTCTATAAAAAATAAAAAGGTGTGTCTCAAATAATAACAATAGCTTTTATTGAGCACTTATATATGCCAGGCACAAAGCTAAATATTTTATGAGTATTTCATCTTCATAACAAACTATGAGGTAGGAACTATTATCCAACTCCATTTGACAGAGGGAACTCTGAGTCCTAGAGAGTTTAAATAACTTGCCCAAGGTCACACAGCTAGACAGGAGCAGAAGATTTGGCAGGTAATCTGGCAACTGAACCTTTACTCCTAACATTAGTACACATTAAGCTAAATAAACGTCTGTGCCGATAGAAAATGTTTTTGTTCTACTTACTGTTTAGGTAGTGCCACAGACCTGTAGTGTAAATTCCAAACCTCTTGGTGTGGCATTCAAGGCCTTGGGAGCCATGCACTGCCACCCCCTCCACCCTTCCCAGCATCTCTCCTCAGGAGCCTTCACTTGGGCTTTTCTAACATGCCGCTGTGCCCAGACACATCCGCCACCTTCCACCTCTGGGCCTCTGCTCCCGCTGGCCCTGTTACCTGGACATAGCTCAGTGGTAGAGCACCCCTGGGTTTAATCCACCCCAAACCAAAAACCCTAAAATATTTGTTGTACTGATACATATTAATAGGAATCGCCGTTGTGTTTTCAGAGTCTATTATAGGATCAGTTGGACAGTTTATCTCTGAAGATCAGATTCTTCAAATTCTCCCAGTGATTCTTTATCTGAACAGTGTGCCCCTGTAGAAGTCACAGAGATGGTAATTACTGCTTTAACAGAAATTCTGGCCCATCCTGTTGTCAGCATATACAGTTTCCATCGTGAAGTATCCAAGCATTACTTTGAACTGTATCCAAAACAGCTTGGTGGCCCAGAGAATTTCTTGCAAATCCAGTCCTGTTTTGACCACAAAAGCAAGTATCATCACACTGTGCTCCAGAGCACAAAATAAAGGTTTCTGGTATCTTAGGTCCTACCCATCAACCAGCTGTTGGTTATCTGGAAATTGTTGGCAACCATTCTGTCTGGTTGTGCCACCCACCCTGATTCACGGGCTGCGTATCACCTTCAGTCCCTCCTTCACTCTGAGTATGCCCAGATTAGCTGTCACGATGCCAGCTTCTCTGTCCTGTCACTTCTTGGTGAATTTATGTGGTGCAATTGATTTGGACATAATGCTTCCAATATAAACTCAGGCAGTGTGGCGACTGAGCCTTTACTTCTAAAATTAGTCCACATCAAGAGAAATACTGCAACCAGGCGCAGTGGCTCCATGCCTCCCAGTGGCATGGGAGGTTGAGGCAGGAGGATCGTGAGTTCAAAGCCAGCCTCAGCAACCCCAAAGTGCTAAGCAATTCAGTGAGATCCTGTCTCTAAATAAAATACAAAATAGGCCTGGGGATGGGGTTCAGTGGTCGAGTGCCCCTGATTTTAAAAAATCTATCTATCTATCTATCAATCAATCAATCAATACTGCATATATCAGAATCGTTTCCTGCTAACTAAAATGGTGTTTGACTTTCGGTTTTAGTATAAATGTCAGGGACCAGGTCTTTAATCAAATACATCTGAGAGACAGATTGGCCATTGGTCCCTGTCGTGTGCCAGGGAGAGGGCTGAGCACCTTACCCGTGTCATCTCACTTGGTCCTGTAACCAGCAGTGGGTCAGCAGCACCCCGTTTTGTTGCTGGGGATGCTAAGACACACAGAGGCTGAGGCCGGCCCAGCTCTGTGTGCAGAGCCCTGTGGTGCCCACCGTGGTAGATGGCCTTCCAGAGGAAGGCAGCGCATCGAGAGCGCCACCCTTCCCCCCGCAGACTCCATCAGCAGCTATGAAGCCCAGATCGCGTCCCTGAAGCAGGAGCGGCAGCAGCAGCAGCAGGACTCTGAGGAGAAGGAGCGAGAGCTGGGCCAACTGAAGCAGCTGCTGGCCCGGGCCCACCCCCTGGACTCCTTGGAGAAGCAGATGGAAAAGGTTGGGGTCGGAGTGGCCTGTGCTCCCCCTGGGCCTCGGGAAGGTGTTGGGTGGGAATCGCTGAGGTGCCTGTCCACAGTCACTGGTGCAGGATGCGGAGCGACGACTCTGGGCGGAGCACAGGGCACCGCAGACTGCTGACCCCTTGGCGCAGTCCTGGCTTGCCCTGTGCTGGTGGGGTGACAACTTCATTACCTCCAAAGCCAGATCAGCCGTGAAAGGGGGAGGGAACTAACACTTCAGGGAACCTCTCATGCACCAGGCGCTGGGTGCTTGGTGCTGGGCAGAGCTGGGGCCTCCAGTCTTTGCCCACCTGTGAGGCAGGACCATCAGGTCCATTGAGCAGGTAAGGGGAGGCTCAGGGGGACTCAGTGATGCTCCCAGCTTTTGCAGATATAAAGAAGCGGAGTTGGCATCTACCAGTCCAAGCAGTGAGGTTCTGAAGTTTTGTTCTTAACTCTATGGTACCTAGCCTCCTTTATTATTGTTGTTATCATTAAACAAAGATAGTGAGCTGAGTGTAGCTCCAGCCAGTCAGGAGGCCGAGGCTGGAGGATGGCTTGAGCCTAGGAGTTTGAGGCCAGCTTGGAGAACCTTGTCTCTTCAAAACAAAAAAAAAAAACATATCTATCTGTATATATGTTTAATTTATACGTGTGTGTGTGTGTTTGTACACACACACACACACACACACACACACACACAGGGCTGGGGATGTAGCTCAGAGGTAGAGCACTTGCTTAGCATGTGCAAAGCCCAGGGTTCAATCTCCAGCACCACGTAAACACACACACACACACACACACACACACACACACCTAAAAACAACAATAGGAAGCACATATTTTTAAATGTTTCATCTTTCAAAGTGAATTTATACCGCTGCCTTGTTTGATCCACACAGTAGCCCTGTGAGGTACTCACTTAATTAATACCTCATTTCATGCTCCAGGAAGCTGAGGCTTGGGGAGATGGAGGGAACTGCCCAGTTAGAAAGACAAAGGTCAAAACAGGAGCCCAGAAAGGAAAGCCTCCCTCCACTCCTCAGCTTCCGGCAGAGGCTGCTACTTGCATCCAGTGTTTCTCGGGGAACATTTGCAGAATGGTAAGGAGGAGGACCTCGCTCAGTGACAGCCACCTGCTATGGAGGAAGGCAGTCCAGTCTGCAGTCAGGCAGGGGCTAGTTTGGGCAACCCCTGTGTTCAGCCATCACTGTCTGTTGCTTAGGCATCTGCAGAGTATATTCGAGGGCTGCAGATGAGATTGGGGTGTTTTGTTCTGACCACACAGGTTTATACTGCCCATTGCAGCTGTTCCTATAAGAGATTTGGAGGGTTAAATTGAGCTTATGTGGAAAAGTGATTCAAGAGATAGATGGCATGGTGGTGCTTACCTGTAACCCCTGAGACTTGGGAGGCTGAGGCAGGAGGATCACAAATCTGAGGCTAGCCTCAGCAACTTAGCAAGATCCTATCTCAAGATTAAAACAAAAACAAAAAACTCAAAAAGGCTGGGGATATAGCTTAATGATAGAGCCTAGCATGCACAAGGCCCTGGGGTCAATCTTCAGCACTGGGGGGGGGGGAAAAAAAAAAAGAAGAAGAACTGGATGAATTGGAAGACGGGGGTAACAGAAAGGATGACTGGCCAATTTCTGCCTTGAACACCTGGGTGGATGACAGGGCCATTCTCAGTGACCTGGCACTTGTGGCGGGAGGAACTGCATTGGTGATATGGCCCAGTTTTGGTTGATTAGGTTAGAGAAGCCAAGTGGACACATGCAGGGGCTCTTGCTCTGCAAGCTCAGCAGGAACAGAAAAGAAATAATCACCCTTAGGGTCGTGTTGGGAGTGTGGGAGGACATATCAGTTAGGTTAGGATGAGGTTTGTCTGCATGTAATTGAAGATCCAGTTCAGCAATGGCTTAAATAGAAGTTTATTTTTCTTAAAGTCCAGATTGGGGTAGCAGCTCAATAAGTCATTAGGAAGCCAGGCTCCTCCTACATTGCTATTTTGCCATAGAGAGCAAATTGCCTCATGGCCCAAGATGACTCATTGAGTGCCTGCCATCACATCCACATTTCAGCCAGCAAGAAGAAGTACAGAAAGACATATCCTCCTGTTCCTTTAAGGAGTTGCCCTGGAAGTTCACATGTGGCACATCTGCTTACACTGCATTAGCTGGAACTGAGTCATAGGAAAGCTGAGAAATATAGATGGTGTGGCAGAAGTTACGCCAAGTGCTCGATTTAAGAAGTTTTAGGGTTAAAAAAAAAAAAAAGATGTTGGAGAGGAAGTGGGCAACAGGAAGATAGTCAGGACCTTGACCCTTTTACCTACCTCCTGCCCCGAAGCGCTCAGAGGAACCTTGAACAGAACTGAGGGGCTCAGGGGCTGCCCGGTGCTGTCCTGCCCACTCACCTCCTGACGTCCCCCAGGCCCACGAGGACTCTGAGAAGCTGCGAGAGATTGTGCTGCCCATGGAGCAGGAGATCGAGGAGCTCAAGGCAAAGCTTCTGAAGGCGGAGGAGCTGATTCAAGAGATCCAGGTGAGGGGCGGCCGGGGGCGTGGGGCCGGGAAGGGGCGCCCAGGAGCCGGCTCCCCAGCCTCTTTCCTGCACCTTTCCCTAGAGACGTCCCCGGCACCCCCCTTCCCTGCACGGCTCCACGGAGTTGCTGCCGCTGTCCCGGAACCCATCTCCACCCCTGGAGCCCCTGGAGGAGCCGAGCGGCGATGGGGGCCCGGCCGCCGAGGCCTTCGCCCACAACTGTGACGACAGCGCCTCCATCTCCTCCTTCTCCCTCGGCGGAGCTGGCAGCAGCGCCTCCCTGCCCCGCGGCCGCCAGGGCCTGAGCTCCGAGCAGGAAGAGACGGCCTCCCTGGTGTCCACGGGCACCCTGGTCCCCGAGGGCATCTACCTGCCCCCTCCTGGGTACCAGCTGGTCCCAGACAATCAGTGGGAGCAGCTGCAGGCCGAGGTGTGTGGATCGGGTGGACAGGGCAGGTGGCCTGTGGCAACATGCCACCCTGGCCCAGGCCCCGAGCTAGAGCTAGAGTGGAGGACGCCACGAGGAAGGAGACACCGTCCCCTAGGGACCGGGAGTCAGACACCAGCACACGTGGACACACAAAGTGGATAAGGTCACAGGGCGAGTCGTCCAGGACACAACGGAAGAGGGCCGTGGGGCAGAAACTGTCAGTGTGGGACCTGAGACCCAGATGGTGGCAAAGTGGCACTTTGCAGGGGCAGGGGCAGGGGGGCTTCGAGTTCTAAGGCCCTGAGGATGAGCAGGCCCTGCTGATTGACGGCAGGAAGGCCCGCCAGGAGAGAGGTCAGGAAGGAGGCAGGGGCTGTCACCGGCCAGCGGAGCCTGCACTTCACACAGGCCAGGAGGAAGCGCCAGGCCCAGCCAGGGAGAGGCCTGTCTGGCTTCCTGCCTGGGGAGCCCCTTGGGCCTGTGTGTAGTGTGGGCTGTGGGGGGCTGGGGAGCAGCTGGATGACCAGGACTGGTTGGGACTGTGGCTTAGGAGAAAGCAGGGACCGGACCAGGAGATGGCAGCAGAGACAGGAAAAGTGGGTGGGGCTGGAATCCAGGCTGGAGGAAGAGTGGGCGGGGCCTGCGAGGGAAGAGTCGTCCCTGAGCATCTGGCTTGAGGGGTCCAGGGGACGATGGCACCATGCCTGCCAGAGAGGGATGGCCTCCCTTGGAGACTGAGACAGGTCTGGGCCTATGGCAGGGCCGGCAACTGCAGAAGGACCTGGAGAGCGTCAGCCGCGAGCGGGATGAACTGCAGGAGGGCCTGAGAAGGAGCACCGAGGACTGCGCCAAGCAGGTGGGTCCCAGCCTCTGCTGTTGCCCTCAGAGGGCCTCTGGCCACCTGCTGCCCCCAGGTGGCCCTGACCTCACTGATGCCCTCCTTCCACCCCCAGATGCAGGTGCTCCTGGCCCAGGTCCAGAACTCAGAGCAGCTGCTTCGGACCCTGCAGGGGACCGTGAGCCAGGCCCAGGAGCGGGTGCAGCTGCAGATGGTGAGTGCTGGGGATGTGTGGCAGGAGGAAGCGGGGTCAGGCTACTTGGGGCACCTGTTCCTCCTCCGGCTGCTCTGGCCTCCCCAGGCATTGGTGCCAGGTAGGTAAAGGGTTTGGGGGCCGCCCAGCCATAGCCAGCGCTCTTGTGATCTTGAACTAACCTGCGACCCCAGGGCCTCTGCTTCACCCTCTGTGAGGTCGAGATAATGAGGCCTGGATTGCGGATTGTTGAGATGGAAAACAAGCCCCGTGATTACCGAGGCCAGAGGAGGGGGAAGGGATCAGATGGCCCCAGGTGCCTGGTAGGAAGGTGTGGTGGTGGCCTGGCCCAGGAGGAGGGGTGCTGAGGGGACGACTGCTCAGTTACGCAGATCCTTCCTGCCTGGAGTGCCAGCTCCCTGCAGCTAGACGTTCTGATTTTTCAAGAGAAGCCAGAAATCCCCATACCTGTGTATCAGCTCCCAATTTTCAAAGTTGGCAGCGACTTGAGGGTTTTAGAAACAGTGTGGACCAAGTAAGGCCCAGCATGGAGTGCAGCTGCCCACCTGTGCTCCAGGTCAACAGGAGGGTGTCTAGAGCCTGGAGCCAAAGCCAAGCAGTAAGGGGGCGTCTTCCTGCCTCAGCACATCAGGAGCCAGCCTGCCCTCCTCACTGCCATGTTTGTCCCCAGGCAGAACTGGCCACCTCTCACAAGTGCCTGCACCAGGAGGTAAAGCGGCTGAATGAGGAAAACCAGGGGCTCCGGGCTGAGCATTTGCCCTCTTCAGCCCCCCAGAGCCTGGAGCAGCTGGAGGGCGAGGACGAGTCACTGCCCAGCTCCGTGCAGGTGAGCAGGGTGTGGGCACCAAGAGCCCTGGTCAACCTGTGGGCCCTTCCTTTCCAGGCAGAGCAGAGCATCTGGGGACCCCGGGGACAGACCCTGGCTGCTGTTTTGGCTGCTTTGCCTTGGCCAACCCACTTGACCTCTTTAAGGCTCGGTTTCCTCATCTGAGAAATGGGACCATAGTGGCTTCCCAGCATTGACATGAAGAAGAGTTAACAATTCCTGACCCAGGAGGCAACGATTTGGTTTGTTTCCTGTTTTTAAGAGACCTGAGATCCTTAAACTGAATTCATCGTGATCTTTGGTTCATAAGCCCTCATCATTGATCTGCGCATGGCCTTTGCTGATGTAATTTACGAATAATGTAATTTATTCAAAATGCAAAGATGCCCGGACCTGTCCCTACCTGGCGGTTACAGCGCACATCCACTTCTGCGGTACCCATTTCCTGGGCCCTGTTTCCTCCTCTCGTTCTTCTTTGGTTTACTTTTCAGTCCATAAATACCGGAGGGCTGGACTCTGTTGCTTGGGGGCTTGACCCAGGGGTCTCTTGGTCCTCTGGAACTCCGGCCCCGCCCCATTTCTGAGTCCCTGCGCTGTGCGGTGGGCACGGTGCCTTGGGGTGTTATGCGCCCTCCCGCCTGGCATTTGGGTTCTTTCCTGTTGGGGCAGTTTCCTTCCTTCCGCTTCCTCCCCGCAATCCCCCTCTGGCCAGCGGCCCCGCCGGCCCCTGCCCTCCTGCTCTTCTGCCCAATGCCCAGCGGGCCGCTCGCGTCCCTTCCAGGAGCTGCAGCAGCTGCTGCACCGCACGCGGCAGGAGGCGCGCGCCCGGCTGCAGGCCCGGGAGCACGAGGCCGAGCGCCTGCGGATTGAGATCGTTACTCTGCGGGAGGCCCTGGAGGAGGAGACGGCGGCCAGGGCCAGCCTGGAGGGGCAGCTGCGGGTGCAGCGGGAGGAGACAGGTGAGGGCCCAGCCAGCTCCCCTGCCGCCAGGCGCCTGACCTCCGGTGGGGCCACCTGGGCAGAGGAGGGGAGACGTGGGAGGACAAGCCTCCACAAACTCTTCTTTCTCTCTCCCCCCCCCCAACAGAGGTGTTAGAGGGTGAGTATGGGAGGCGCCCTGGCCGGGGCTGGCCGGTGGGGAAGGAACCAGTGGGGGCCTGACTTGCAGCCTCCTTGCGCCTGACTTCCCAGCCTCCCTGTGTAGCCTGAGGACCGAGATGGACCGGATCCAGCAGGAACAGAGCCAGGTGAGGCAGAGCCCAGGGAGCAGACCAGGGTGTGAGGGACCGCACTGTGCAGAGAAGGCCTAGCAGGCCCCTCCTGTCCTCTGTCTCCTTCAGGCCCAGCGCCAGGAAGGCCTCCTGCAACAGCCAGGCTCTGGCCGGACAGAAGAGGTCAGAGTCAGCTGGTGTGGAAGGGGTGACTATGTGTGGACATCTCGGTGCTTGGCCACACCCCCTCCTGGCTGGCCCAAGGCTGAGCCAGGCCCTAACTCAGCGTCTTGTCCCCACAGGCCCAGCTCAAAGACCTCCTCTCAGAGCAGAGGGCCAAGGTGCTGCGGCTGCAGGCTGAGCTGGAGACCAGCGAACAGGTGCAGAGGGACTTCGTGCGACTGTCCCAGGCCCTGCAGGTATGTCGCCCCCACCCTCCCATACTGGTGTGGTTTTCAGTGACTTGCCCTGTGTCTTGTGAGGACAGTCCCTCAATTGGGGGAGTCCCCATCCTCCGCCCAGGGCTGGCATGGTATGTAGCCCTGAATTATTGACCCCAAAGCTGAAGCTCTTTGGGTATATCTTGTGTCGATCCCAGGATGCCCTTAGCACAGGCTTGGTGGCACGGAGGGTCTGTGCCATCAGCACCACCAGTGGCAGCTTGGGCTTCCTCGAGCTGTCCTAGGACCCGTTCTTTCCCTTTCCCCTGGTGGCAGCGGGGGCTTAGGGGGGCGGGGTGCCCCTAGGTGCACTGGTCCTGGGCCCTGCCACTGGGGGTTGGCAGGTGGGGTAGGAGCTGTTTCCCTACCAGGGACTTCTGCGTCCCTTGCCTGATTCCCCAGGTGCGCCTAGAGCGGATCCGCCAGGCTGGGACTCTGGAGCAGGTGCGCTGCATCCTGGATGAGGGATCCCTCAAGGATGTGAGGGACATCAAGGACACTTGAGGGGCCTGGCGAGAACCATCGCTCCCCGCTTCCACCCCCCCTGGGGAAGACTGCCTTCCTCCAGTCCAGACCCTGAGGCCTGGGCTTTGGGGTGTCAGGACGGAGCTCTCACCCTCTCCAAGCTTGGGATTGGGGTGCCGGGGCCACCACTGCCCAGCGCCTCCTCCCAGAGTGGCTGGGCCTTCTGCTCTCAGGGATGACACCGCCCCCTCCTGGAACCAAAGGGCAGGCTGAACCCTGCGGCTCTCTGGCTGCTGTGCTGCCTCCAGCGCCCCCGCTGGCCAACAGCCACGCTGGCACAGTCCGTCCCCGTCCGTCCCGAGGCACAGCCGAGCTGTGTGGTGGCTGGCAGCCTCTGTCAGCATCAGTGGGTCCCTCATGCACACCCTGAGACAGGCAGCTGCTTTCTGGACGCATGACACTAAGACGCTTGTCCACGGGGCCTGACGCAGGCCTCGAGACGTGCACGGAGGCGAGGCCAGAATTTTCTGTCATTTATTTTCAATAAATAAGCAGCTCAGCTCAGTCGGTCGCCTTGTCCCTGCAAGCCCCACGGGGTTGGGAGGGGAGGATTTCCAGGGTGGGGAGGGAGGACAGGTTGCTGGGGAGGGGATGTTGTGTTTATAAACAGAAACATGTCGGGTTGGGAGGAGTTGGTGCCACAGCCCTGGTGAAGATGCGTCGCTATCAGGGAGGAAGGGGCAGCGGACGTTACTTCCTTCTCTCATCTTCTGGATCTGGAAGGAGAAGGGGAGGGATGGAGCATGTGGGGTGGGGAGAGGGGTCCCTCCCAGTGCCCATCTGCTGGCGCACAGCCTGGAGGTCACCGCGGCCCCTTTCCTCCCTGCACTTACCTGTGTCCCCAGCTCCGGACCCTCCCACCCGCAGCCCCAGCAGCAGAGGCAGCCAGCGCCACGCAGCGCAGCCCAGCGGACAGTGGTGCCCGGAGGCTGGGCACCGCCAGGCGGGCACCACCAGGGTGCCCGGGCCCTGGCAGCGGTGCTGGGGCCACCGCGAGGGCAGAGACCAGCCTTGTGGAAGCGCGGCAGTGGCAGCAATGGCAGTGGCTCCAGGTGGAGCTGCGAGCGCAAGTGACCTGGGATGCGCGGGCGGCTAGGGGCAGGCGGCGGGGCGCAGCAGCTGGCGCGAGGGCAGGGAGGGAGGGTGATACCTGTGACACGGGTTCAAAGACATGGAGGAGGGGGACGGTTATCCTATGGCCAAGAGGACAGAGAGAGCTGGTGTCAAGGAGGGAGGTGGCCTGCGGGCCAAGAGGGCTGAGCAGGCTGGGGGCCACCCAGGAGAGTGACCCTGCCTGGAGCGGCTGGAGTAGAGAAGGGGCCTGGGCGCCCCTGCCTGGGGACACTGGTCCTACCAGGGCCACAGAGAACTTACCACCTGCAAAGGAAGAGGGCGGGGCGGGCGCGCTTCGCCGCGCGGAGGGCAAGGGGTGCGCTCAGGGCCTGGGGCTCCCGGGGCCAGAGGAGGGGCGCTCCTTACCCTCTAGGTAGTTCCGAGCAATGAACTTGAGGATTTCGTCCAGCCCGATGACCGGAAGGGAGATCTTGAAGACCATGAGCCACTGGGTGACGTCCAGGGCCCTCAGCTTGAAGATCATCTGGGGGTGGGGACGGCAGCCGTGAGGAAAGCAGGTGTCCTCTTGGGAGGAGGTGGAGAGGGAGCAGGGGGCCAGGCACCATCTCGGCCAGTCCCACCTTCTCCTCGTCAGCACCTCTAGTGCAAGTAGCCACAGGCCCTGTGTGGGCTCCCCGGGGCTGGGGGACAGGTGGCAGAAGGGGGCTCACCGGCAGAGGGTCAACATAGAGGATGAGGAAGTGGAGGGACATGGACAGGCAGATGGAGCCCAGCAGCCAGATGTTCACCCAGGGCGGCATCCGCAGCAGGGACTGATTCTCAGACAGGCTGCAGCAAGGGCCGAGCGGAGCCACAGAGGGGGACACAGAGAGAGACCGTGAGGAGAGGAGGGCAGGGGGTGGAGGCCCAGGCGCTGGCCCCACATGGCACTGGGGCGGGCAGGAGGCCCTACCTGTTGAGAGCATTGCACATCTCGATGGTGACCAGCACGGACAAGGCCATGGTCATGGGCTCGGGGGCCTCAAAGACCTCACAGTCGAGGCCATCAAAGTCAGGGTTGTGCTCCGTGCACTGCATGAAGTGGGTCTGCAGAGGAGGGGACAGGAGCCTGAGGTCCCGTGGAGGCCTCTACACCACCCTCCTAGGGCCCAGCTCTCTGTCCCCTCTTACCAGCTGGTTGTAGGTGACATGAGGCCCGTCGTCTGCATACAGGAACCACCAGGCAGCTGCTCCCACAGTGGCTGCACCCACGTAGCCTGTGTGGGAAGATGGGGAGGGGTCAGGGCCAGGAGGTGGCCAGCGTGGGAGGGCCTTCCAGACTGGTAACAGCTGGGTGAGGGAGAGGACCGACTGGGGGGCTGCACTGGGGCAGCTGGTGTCCTGAGGAGGGGGTCAGTCCCAAGGGCTGGGAAGGACGGTGGGGCCCCATCCTGCTTACCCCCGATGGCCATGTAGCGGAAGAAGAGCCACCCGCTGATGAGGGGCTCCTTGGGGCTCCGGGGGGGCCGGTCCATGATGTCCAGGTCTGGGGGGTTGAAGCCCAGGGCCGTGGCCGGGAGCCCGTCGGTCACTAGGTTCACCCACAGCAGCTGCACGGGGATCAGGGCCTCAGGCAGCCCCAGGGCGGCCGTCAGGAAGATGCTGCCAGAAGGAGGTGGTCACACACCTGTCCAGGCCCCGCCACCCACCCCGCCACCAGGCCCTGGCGCTCACCAGACCACCTCGCCCACGTTGGAGGAGATGAGGTAGCGGATGAACTGCTTCATGTTGTTGTAGATGGCGCGGCCCTCCTCCACGGCTGCCACGATGGTGGAGAAGTTGTCGTCGGCCAGCACCATCTCAGAGGCCGTCTTGGCCACCGCCGTGCCAGAGCCCATGGCGATGCCGATCTCGGCCTTCTTCAGGGCAGGGGCGTCATTGACACCGTCCCCTGTCTGAGGGGAGAAAGAGGGGGGCTCAGGGCTCCTTCCACACCCCTCCTTGAGGTTCTCCCCCCAGAGCCTGGGTCCTCCCGCCCATGCACCGGACTCCGTGGACACTCGGGGCCCTCACCATGGCTGTGATCTCGTCGAAGGACTGCAGGTACTCCACGATCTTGGACTTGTGGGAGGGCTCCACGCGGGCGAAGCAGCAGGCGCGACGGCAGGCTTCCCGCTGCTCAGCCAGGGGCAGGTCGTCGAACTCGCGCCCCGTGTAGGCACGGTCCGTCACCTGCTCGCTCTCCGAGAAGATGCCGATCCGTCGGCAGATGGCAATGGCCGTGCCCTTGTTGTCTCCGGTGATCATGATCACACGGATCCCGGCGTCGCGGCACAGCTGGATGGAGCCTGTGACCTCCTTGCGGGGCGGGTCCAACATGCCCACCACCCCCACGAACGTCAGGTCCGTCTGGGAAAGAGCGGACGGCGGTCAGGGAGGGACTCGGACACGAGCCAGGCGGGGGGAAAATTTGAGGAGGCCCTGGTGTTGGACCTCAGCAGGGACAAGAAACATTTCTCATTCCTACATGTCCCTGCGGGTCCTTGCAGTGCCAGGCCAGCCACAGTGCCACCCTGTGCCCTTCACAGAATACATGCTAGAGGTAAGAGCAAGGGGCTTCTGCTATCAGCAGGGCCACCTCTTGACCCACAACTTCCAGCACATCCCTGTGACCTGCCAGGCCTCAGTCTCCCTCCGTGAAACGAAGGCAGTGGGCTTTTGGTGCCATTCAGAGTCCACGACTAATACAGGGCCTACACCAGAATGCTCATGCCCACCTTGAGACATCCTGGTTACGGAAGGCCCATGAGCGAGCCCCTCCATGCAGTGACACTGATTCCCCCCCTGGGGCGAGAGCCTCCCTCCCCTGGTCGCAGACCATCCACTGGTCACACTTAACGTAGCCCAGGAGGCTGGGGAGCAGCTCAGCCACGGTATGTTCTTAGCACGTGTAAGGCCCCGGTTCCATCCCCAGCACCACAGGTCAATAAAATAGAGCAGCACTGGACTGGATGCTTTCTAGGGCTCTTTTGAAGACTAGTGTCCTGTGATTTCGTGACCCGTACAGAGCCACCGGTTTGAGATGAGAGGGTGCAGGGAAGCAGGCAGTGGGAAATCAGCCTCTTGGTGACATCTAGGACAACGGAGCCTTCCCCCACTCACCTCATACTCCATGAACCTGGAAGAATCATCTAGGATCATCTCCTCTTTCTTGGGAGGGGTATCCCGGGTGGCCAGGGCCAGGCAGCGCAGGGTGTCCCGGCCAGTGCCCCACTCCTTGATGACCGACATGATCTTCTCCTTCACGGGGCCAGTCAGGGGCACCCGGGTGGTGCCAACTCGCACATAGTTACAGCGGTCAATGACGCCCTCAGGGGCACCCTAGGAGACCAGAACAGCGTTCAGAGACCACTGCCTGCCCGCCAGGACACAGTGAGAGGGGTTGGGCACAGGAGAGGGGGCAGGATTAGAAGGAGAGGGGTGGGAATACATTCCAATTTCTGACCTTGACGAACATCTTGTTGCCCACAGCAGCCCGGGAAGACTTGGCCGGTGAGCAGTAGACAGACATGGACTTTCTGTCCCGGGAGAACTCCAGGGTGAATTCCTTCTTCATCAGCTGGCGGATCACCTGGGAAAGAGGAGACCAGGCCCCTTAACACAGTTAAAAAGGGTTTGGAGGTCACAGTGGACCCCCAGACTAATGCTAAGGCTGATACCTGAAGTACAAATGGAAAGAATTCCAAGGCTAATGCTGCCACAGTGTTACAGTGACTGGTTTAAAGCACAACAGAAACAAGATGGTCTTGTGTGGTATGGTCCAACAGGACTCTGAGAGGTGACAGAGATCGGCAGTCCGCACTGTTCAAGCAGGTGAGCCATGGCCACTGAGCACTGGGAATGAGGTCAATGTGACTGAAAAACTGCATTTTCATCTTTGTTTAATTTTAATTAATTCAAATGTAAATAATTGCATGTATTGTTGGTTAGGCCTCATACCTGGCATGCAGAAAAAAGCACTCCTCAAAAATGAGTGAAAGGGGGCTGGGGCTGGGGCTCAGCGGTAGAGCGGTTGCGTAGAACGTGTGAGGCCCTGGGTTTGATCCTCAGCACCACATAAAAATAAATAAGCAAAATAAAGGTTTTGTGTTCAACTACAACCAAAAAGTAAATATTTAATTTAAAAAAATGAATGAAAGCCTTTTTTTTTTACCAAATACACATGGCTACCTCTCCAAAAATAAGAGAAAAGTCAAAATAACAAAAAATGAAGTAAAAATGAATTTATATCATCATTTGTAAATCTTTAAAATTAAGCTTCCCTGGCTGGGTGTGTGTTGTACGCCAGTAATCCTAGTGACTTGGGAGACTGAGATGGGGATCACAAGTTCAAGGCCAGCCTGGGTGACTTAGTGAGACCCTGACTCAAAACATGAGGGCTGGGAGAATAA